GAGATACTGGTGTCGCACAGTATTTCTGTTTTAGCCTCAAACTGTCAAAGAATCACTTTTTTAAAAGAATCTAAGTTTTGCGCTTACATTTGAGCTTAGCTTCTCACCTCTTCTTTTGCCGTCATTTCTGGGGGGACTTGTGGCCTAGACTAAATTTATATGGGTTTATTCGCAAAGAAAGCAAAATTCTCGTAACGGTATTTGCATCATGGGGTGTAAATGGCAGAACAACCCTTCAAATCTTTTTAGTTTTTTTAGAGATCGTTTGAATTGGAACGAATCTTTCCTTGTTTCAGCCTTTACTTCTAGAAAATTTCTAGGCATTGAGGTTGCGTTATGAAAATTTGTTGGAAGCACACGGTGAAAAAATTGAACGAATTGAAGAGCTGGAGCTGGATCTGGCTGATGTAAAGAAATTACTTAAGGATCAGGTGGGCTGGAACTTTTGACTGAAAAGTACTGACTTCCTAAGCGATGAAAATGCTCTCAGAATTTGGTGATTCCTCTTATTACATATTTTCAATTTATTGGCAACATATGGTGCAATAAAGCGGTACCTATTGCTATGGCTGGGAAAGTGAAGGGCTGAACCCACCGCCAATGTAATAATCATTTCCTCTTCGTTCATTCATTTCGGCAGTAAATTGGTACTGACATATGATGTAAGGAGTCAAATTCCGTCATCGACATGCTTCGAAACAGCCTTCGAAATTGAGGCTCATCAGCCGGTTTGCTGGTGCACATGGTCGTTGACTCCGCTGCCAGTCGGACTGCTTTCGGAGGCCATGTTTGAGTGAATGCGGAGGGAATTTTGATTTTTGACTTCGAAACTTACAGAACAAATTTCTGTGCTTCAAATTTTTTTCATTTATGTCATATTTTCTTATTGTTGCTCAAACTTTATAGTTTTGCGTTTTAGGTAGAATTCTTCGTTGGAAAAAGTTGACAACACTGTGAACAATTCACACTTTCATTTCCTGTCTGTGATAAATTTCCTATGGTTGTATTATATGTAGATGACTTATCTTAGTTAAATAACATTATTGGGTGAATTGTTTAACGACACGTACTATTGCTACTTGAATACGCCAGTAATTGAATAATCAAGTATTCAAGTAGGTTCATATCAACGTGATATTGCATGTTAACAGTGGTAATGTTTATGCTTGTTTGGAAAAACTCTCCGATATTGCCAGTGTTGCCGAAAATCTTCCTAATTTTTCAGTTTTTCCAGTCGGGTACTTCCCTGCCTGTGGTACTTCTGTGAAAGATTTGCCTCTCTTTTTGTCTTGTGGCGCTTTTCCAGAAAGTTGAACTGGTGCGCTTTTTATTTTGAGAAGTAACGGGAATGAAGATGGGGAAAAGATTGGCGCGAAGGGAAGAAATGTGAGGAAGAAACTGATAATACCTGGAATCATTAGGAGAATGTTTAAACTTTAGCTTCTAGAGCGCGCATTATTTTCCCGCAAAATTGTTGTCGCACAACAAAACTTCTACGTAAGCGGCAGTTTAAAATAATGAAGTTTTATTCGTTTTGAATTTAAATTGCGTCTCGTGGTTCGAGCAGTTTTGACGGCTTAATACTCCATGTTTTTTGCTTTTTTTTGTTCGCGTATTGACTGTGATCGTTATGTGATAGCATCGATTGTGACCAGGATTGCAGGAACTTTTGAAATTTCTAATTTTACAATTCGACTTTCGGTTACCAATTGCCGGGCTTTTGCTTAAATTCAGGAACCAACCAAAAAGCGCCAGAAAATTGTTTTTAATATATCTCGGGATTTCCAATCTAGAGTGAAACTCAGTTGTAAAGGACCAACGTTTTTTTAGGTGAAAAACAGTGAAAATCACATTTTCATTTAAATATTTATACATGTATATGTGTAACACTTCACTTGTGGGAGTGCACTGTTTAAGTTATTGGCAAGGCTGATTGCTGAGATTTATTCAGGATTTGCCTTCACAAAAAGCAAAAATAAATTATTACTTAATTGATTCATTCGCTAATCATGGATATAAATAATGATCGACATGGGTAATTACTATGATTTCGTCTAATACCGCTTTCTGTTTTAATCTAAGAAATTGAGATCTAAAGTCACACAGGCCTATAGCATTCGAAACAAGCGGCTCACAGGCTTAGAGCTCCGAAAACCTCAATTTTTGGTACCGTGGAAGACCAGAGAGGATAAAATTATCTACCAGTTCTTTTCAAATTTTGGCCCCGTAAAGGACATATCCTAATTCAAGCGATACGTTGTAATTCATGTATTAATGAAAGTGCAAGTTTAAAATCCTGCAGACTCTTTTAAAGGCCACTTACAGGGCTAAAAAAAGTAAGATCACTTTTCAATCACGATCTAGAAATTTCAGGTCCCGATGCATGTACATCATTTTATGACTGCAAAAATAATTAAAAGCTAGAAACGTCTGGAATGCGTTTCGCGGTCACTTTCAGCCTCGAAAATAAATGAACTCATTTCTCAGATGATCCTTCCAGGATACGAAGGATATGTCTGGATCCTGATTTCTTAGGTTTCCTAATTTCATCAATTCATGACCGTTCTGATCAGTGCTGCATCACCGGCGATACAGCACTGATCAGAACGGTTATGAACTAAAGGGAGACGATGGTGTGCTTTTTCGCTTTGCCATTAAAGAGTGTAATGAATACGAAACAATGATA